TTTCCCTACTCTACTAAGTTTATTATAAATTTAATCAAGACACTATGACTTTTGCATAGAGGTAGGCAAAATGACCAGCGGAACAGAGCAGAAAGCCCAGAGATGGAATCATACTGAAATAGAAATTTGACATATGACAGAGGTAGCATTATAATCAGAGGGAAAAGGATTTAATCTGCAATAATGTTGGATTAATTATTATCTTGGGGGAAAAAATATTTAATTAGATCCTATTTCATACCATATACATATAAGTAGATTTAAAAGCTAATATTATAAGCAAGCATTTTAACATTTTTAGAAGAAAATATAAAGGATGAGCTTATGACCACCAATTAGAGAAGGGTTTTGTAACTAAGATGTAAAAAGCATAAATCATTAAGGAAAAAAACAATACATTTGACTACAATAACACGAAAACAGAACAAACAAACAAATTCTCTCTTCAACCAAAGTGAAAAGGCAAGCTACATACTGAAATATGTTTGCAGCACATTTAACTAACAAAACAGTAAGTACTTAGAATATATTTTAAAACAAATTGATAAAAATCAAGTAACCTTATGTGGCAACAGAAAGAAATCTAACTATGGGAGGATACAATGTAAATATATGTGTGTGTGTGTGTGTGTGTGTGTGTGTGTGTGTCTTAAATAAATATTTAACAGCTTAATAAATAAATAAATAAATAAATAAATTAAATAAAGTAACTCAACCAAAAAATGGACCAAGTACATGAACAGGCATTTCACAGGAAAGGAAAGGCCAATAAACTTATGAAAGATACTCAATCTCACTAGGAATCAGAAAATGTAAATTACAATAACATTTCATATCCAGCAGATTGGCAAACATTCAAAAAGTCTGACAATACCAAATGTTGGTAAAATGTGGAGCAACAGGAATTCTACACTATTGGTAGTAATGTAAATGGGTACAATCACTTTGGAGAACACTCTAGTAATATCCAACATTTCCATTCCCAGAAATACACTCTAAAGAATCTCTTTAACAAGAAGATAAGCAAAAGATTGCTCACTTCAGAATTGTTTGTGACAGGGAAAATTGGAAATAACCAAAACTCTCCCAATACAACACATAAATAATCACCAAGTATTCATATGACAGAATTCTATATGCAGCAGTTAAAATAAATGAACAAGATTACATATACCAACATCGATAAATCTCAGAAATAAAGCGTGAGCAAAAAAAAAAAAAAGCAAGGTGCAAAAGGATATATACACTAGGAAACATTTGTATTAAGTTAAAATACACTAAACGGTATTATATATTTTTATTGGGATATGTATAAGTAAAGGTGTAAAAATATTCATGGCAATGCTATGTACCAATTTTGGTATAGTGGCTGCCTCTGAGGAGAGAGGAAAGGGAATGGTGTTAGGGGAGAACATTTTCCAGAAGATATTCGACAGAATATTACAGAAGATATTTTGTAATATTTTATTTCAAAAATAAAATCAGATGTAAATATGGCAGAATGATGAGTACATTCGTATTTATTATATTATTCTCTGTAATTTCCCATATGCTTAAATATTTTTTTATCTAAAAAATGAATAACTTTAAAGTAAAACTTCAGAAAAGACTACCTTAATGACTGATAAAATTCCTAATAAATACTCAGACGTCAGAAAAATTAAACTACAAAAACTTTTGAAATTCTCATTGTGAAATATAAATATTTCAGTTTTAAGTATGTGCCCATTTTACAAATAAATAGGAGAGCCATATAGCCAAAAATTGCAAATATTCTGATTACAAGGTAAAAAATATAAAATATAAATATACACACATGGGTAAAAATTGAAACACTAAAAAAAACACAAACTTTTAAGCTGGAAGAGTTTGGAGTAAAATCTCATTTTTTTAATTTTTAAATTTTGACTCAATTAATGAAATATTAAATAAATGCATTATGTACTTCCTAAAAATATTTTACTGTAGAAATAATATAGCAGCAGAGATTTAAACAATTAGAGCTCTAGAAATGCACAGGAAAATTCCTTTTAGGCTTTCCACTGAAATTATGTATTTCTGTGACACAATCAGCTTAAACAAACAGGTATCAAACAAAATGACTTGGGTCAAATCACTATCGCCACCCAATTTTCAAAGGTAATGGCAAATCAACAACTTCTCCAGGTTTAATACTTTGTTATGCCTTTAATTAAGGCGGGGCTTTTAATAGTTGTTCCATACGTGTCTCAAATCAATCAGATGAAATTCACCTTTTACGTGTCCTGAATCCTGATAGCTCCGCACACTTGATAGGTAATTTAATCATCTCTGGTGTAGATGAACGCAAACTCAAATTAGCTACTGAAAGAGTTGGTCTTCTCTGAGATAGCTGTGCTTTTCCACTTTTATGCACGAGCTGAGCTTCACCAACTGGCTGGCTGGAGATGTTATTAAAAATTTAGTGAAAGAAACAAAGGTGTGCTCTGGTGTCTCTTGTTACCCTTTCTACTGTTACCCAGTAGACAAAAGGCATAGGGGCTGCCTCATGAATAATGTGACATGGAATATTCACAATCTATTTTTAATGGAGTCAAGTAATAACATTGAGAGATATTTGCAATCTTCAAATTTCACACAGTAACAGATGCAGTAATTTGTTTTGATTCTGTACTGGGGATATTAAGATATTTTTTTTCCTGGAAAAAAAGGTATACTGTGAACATAAAAATTAAAACTCATTTATAGCACAAACAGGGATTATAAAAATGGAGCCAAAGTTCTATATGTCATAAAGGGAGAACAGGACAGGGCAAACAACTAGATTTCAATCAGTTCTACTTACCCTTCCATGCAACTTCTTTACTTTTCAAATCAGGTTGGAAATAATCAACCAGTGTGCATGGTGAATTCTGTGGGAAGGAAGTTTTGTGATCTTTATGCACTGGGAACTTTGTTTCCGAGGATACTAGTTAGAGGTTCCTGGATGCTGCAACTATCCACGTATCAGTTCTGGAAAATTATCTTAAACTTGCATTATAGAGCAAACAAATTTAAATTTTGAATGAGAGTAAACTGACATGGAAAGTTATGGTGTTGAAAACCAAGTGAGCACAGCGAAGGACTGAGATTTGGATAAACTGGCAAAAAGCAGTGTCAAAGCCCCCCTTACCTACCAACTCAGAGAGAGTCCTATGTGTTCTATTGGTTTCCTGGGACCTCAAGCAATTTCTCTTCCCTTTGTGCTGTAGAGAGCAGAGCCAGCCAGAATAAAGCAGTTTGCCTGCTAATTCACTTAGCACCTCAGCAAATATTTATTGTTCTACTGTGTGCCAGGCACTGTTCTGGGAGCTGAAGATTCAGCAGTAACCAAAGAAATAAAGCTCTACTGACATTGTGCTCACTGCTCTATCCTAGCACCTGGAACAGTGCCAGGCTTATTCTAGGTGTTCTATATGTGTGAAGTTGATTTGAATTAAAATGAACAATCTGCTGGCGATCACCATGAACCATATATACCCTAGTTGGCAGATGTTAGAAAAAGTATCTTGGGATTTAGGCTAGGACCCTTTTCTGGTTTTATTCTCTTAAGGCATTGACTTATGCAAGAAATTCCCACAGGTGAGAAAGAGCCAGAAATAACCCAGTTTTAAAATAAGATCCCAATTTTACTGCCCCTGATGCATCTTTGGATTTATAATTTCCTTTAGGTGAGGCAGCTAACCAATCTCAGATATTTTCTTTCCTTTCCAGTCTCCATAGAATCAAAGTGCTCAGGGTTATATTGGGATGCTAGAATCATATTACATTTGATAGTTAAGAAAACGTATCAGAGAGGTCAAAGGCTTTTTGCCCATGTCACATAATGTGTTAGTGACAGGGCTGTGACTAAGAATCGATAGACCTAAGGCTTGTGATTTCTTTATTCATCTGGGAGCCTGCTAGCCTATAAACAAACAAGCAAACAAACAAAAAACCCTGAAACTCTCAAAAGAACCTATGTACAATTGGGACCATCAGGGACTCTCCAAGGTAGGAGCTTAGTTTTGTACACCTAATTTTTCTGTTAAGAACTAAGGATCTCTAAGAAATAGAAAAAAAAAAAAAACATGAAAAGCAGAGAAACTGAATTTTATTCTCTTCTGGATGTTGGCTCATCTGCTTTACTTCTATAGTTTCTTTCAGTGCCAACTCCTTCTACAGACTAAAACAAAGGTCTTTCACAAATTCCCTGCCTAAATAAAAAAGCAATATGTAAGAGTCTTAATACTTTATTAACTTAAAACATCACTCTAATAAATATGTATTAACAAACATAATACACCTCAGAAAATCTAAAAACATTTACAAACCTCATCAAAGGAAAATACCACTTTTTTGTCCTCTACGGTACACATGGAGGGTCAAAGAGTTGAAGACAGAGACTTCATTCCTACATGCCTGCTAGCTTATACATCTTTTAAAAATCAGCTTAACAACAAAAACTGAATATACACACAAATCTTTTAAGTATCTGTTCAGCTATTCTTTGTTTATCTTTGATAAAATCCAAACGGGTCAGAAGGAAAGGTTCAAGATTCTGTTTTGTCTTCTTGAAATTCTTTGGGAAAGAACAGACTCAGACACTTGGAAGTACGACTATTAGCTTTTGAAAGGCAAAGGTAGAGGCTGTGGCCTTAATCTCTGGCTCCCCAGTACCCAGCATAGGGCCTGGTACCATGGTTACTGGTGATCAACAAACATTTGCTGAGTGAATGGGTAGTATTTTGTCCAAAGGCATTGCTCTGTGCTTCTACCTCCTCTGATGAAACCTTCAAAGGTCTCCTGGAGGCCTCTAATCTCCTCTCATCACCAAATCCACTTTTCTTCAGCATCTTCTTGGGGCAGGCTCTACAGTGTATCTTGTAATTTCAAAAGTATGAAACCACTTCCCTAAATCATTTCTGAACCAGTCTTTAAGTGGGAGAAACAATTCCTCCAAGATTTACAGGCAGCACCCAACAGAAAGGGGTCAACAGACCTCCCGAAAGGAAAAAAATAACACTCATTCTTCATTCTAGATAAAAACATTAGCGTGTGTCTCTACCTTGTAAATGGTGATTCCTCCTCTTCCACACAAGTATCTGGGGTGGGTCAGGAGGGAAGAAACCTGAAGGACCTTCCTGTCTGTGGAGCAGGGCTGGGACTTTGAAGGACTTTGGGGCCCAAGGTTTTAACTGATCCCCTCTTGAGTTTGAGTCTTCAGGTAGAGAGGAGCCCATTCGGCACGTCCAAAGCCCAGTGAGTCATTTGGTTCCCACTTTAGGAAGAACTCTGAAAAAGCAATCTATCCCCTCTGTCAGCTGCAGGAAGTAAGGTGAAGGGGTACACCCTAGTGGGATCTGCAGACTGGACTAGGAGGCCTGAGAAGTCAGAAGTGAGTGGTGGCATGTGGGGAGGCTACCCTCCCTAGTGTTGTGTAATTGCTGCTTGCAGCCAGCCAGGGCTCTCATTTTAGCCCATGCTGTGTCTCCCGGTGCCGCCTGAGGTCCACTTTTCTCTGGAAGCCCTTCCCACACAGGTCACAGCCGAAGGGCTTGAAGCCTGTGTGCTTGCGGCTGTGGGTGATGAGGTTGGAGCTCTGGCTGAATGCCTTGCCGCACACCTGGCACTTGTGGGGCTTCTCACCTGCAGGGATGGAAGGGTGGAGGAGGAAGTATGAGTCTGTGATGAAGCTAGAGGGGATTCTCTGTGACCCACATGCTCTCAACAGCAGCTGGCTACATTACAGTCTAAGGCCTTCAAGCAACTTGGAGGGTGACCTGTTGCAGTGCAAGTCCCAGAAAGCCATGGGTGCACCAGGTGAAAGGGAGACTTTCTGAGTGGGGGTTCCCAGCCAAAAGGCCTCAAACCGTTTCCTGCTAAACGGAAACAGAGCAAAGGCCACGTGCCCTCCTCAGGCTCGCAGCTGAATCCACCCCGGGAAGACTCCCCTGACTTTAGAAGCTGAAAGCTCCACAGCAGATGTTCAACAGGAGGGGTGGGGGTGGGGGCTGTCCTTCAAACCATGTGACTCTGTTCTAATTCAGAGGAAGTTTTCAAATCTGAGTTTCCAAGTGGGTGTTGGTTTGCATGGACCAGTGAGCCTGTCTTCTTTCTTGCTCTTGAAGGACAATAGAATGCATCTGAAGCATTAATATTTCTCAAAATCTTATTTTTAAAAATTCACATGTGGGCCACAAAGTATTTCTTAAGGTAGCTGATATTTTTCTATCTTGATTTTACTTTCTTTTTCATGAGGTTAATCACAAGATTCTTTATATACCAGCAACTCTTCACCATAGATTAATAAATAACAGATAGAAAAGATTTTGTCTTCTTCCATTCCCAATTCACAAGTTGCTTAACATGGCATCATAGTCAAGGCTTGGCCTTGGAAAAAATGCAAAATAGATGAAGTTTATTTTTGAGGAACCCTCCGTCTTGCTGCACCTCTTTCTGTCTTCATGCTTCAGATTTCCTTGATAAGAAACCACCCATCAAAACTTATCCTAACCCTTAGGGTCAAACAAATCTGAGAAATGAATTCTAGCTATAATGTAAATGTTTGATAAGGGCTTAATGTTTCATTCAGTCAAGAACCTACTTACATTTTGATAAGCATCTGGAATACCTTTACTCAAAAGGAGTGAGTTACATGGAAATTTCAGGCAAGAAGGTATGATTAAAGGAGAATATTTTCCTGGGTTTTCTGATGGGGGCATCTACCTTGCCCAAACATATTTAAATATCAATGGTAAGTGTTTGGAATACACTGTAATTTGTTTTTAATCAGTATTCACATTCTGAAATAAAATAGTCAGAATTCTGGGTCTTGTGTATATATCTTGTTGACTATTAAAGAGATTGCTCCTCGCATTAAAAATGCCACCCACACACAATCGAAACATTAATAAAGAGTCCAGGATTTGGAAGCTAGAGCATTTCATGGCCCTATGATTTACTCTTGGTTTGAACTTTGGTAAATTATTCCATCTCTTCGAGTTTCAGAATGGTAATTGTAGTTTCTTCTACTTTATGGGATGGCAGTAAGGATCTAATGAAGCGATATACTTGAAAGCACTTTGTAAATCATAAAGCATTATAATAGGTAAAGAATTATCATTATTATGGCGCAAACTTGTTGACATTTTGAAGAGGGCAATAAGTGAAGAGAAGCTTTCTATATCTGTCAACCCCCATGACTTTGAAAATAGAATACAATAAATGGTGGTCAAGAGCACAGACACTGAATTTAAGTCCTGGCCCTGCCACTTGCTAGCAATGTGACCCTCAGCAGGCTACCTAACCCTTTTGTACCTTGCTTTCTTCATCATATAAAATGGGAATAAGGAATAGTCTCTACCTTACAGCACTGTTGTAAGCATAAAATGAGAATGCATTTAAAAAGTGCTTAGCAGAGAGTTTAGTAATATTTACCATTTGCCCCCCTCAATCAGAATAAGCTCTCAGACTCTTAAAAATGCAGTCAAGATGGCACACATAAGTCCCTCCCCAAAAATGCAGGGTAGAAGCCCTAGAGAAAGTCCTCAATCTCTAGATAAATATTTAGGACAACACTCTGAGAGGACCCTGGGGCTTCATATTTCACCCAGAGCAGGCAGCAGTTGGAGCAGCTGCTAAACTACAGGAAAATTGCCTTTGCAAGGGATCCTGCAGCTGACCTGCTGAGTGGTTCTTCAGATGCAATCTCAAATCAAGGCCCCGCTGGAGAAAACCATATAGATAAATGAACCTAAGAGAATCTGCCTCCTTGTTTTCTTTAACGCACTGCAAAGATTAACTCCATCTGGAAAGCTTCATCCACCACTCATTCTGGGGCCAGAACATCACAGAGAAGTTGAATTACATTGGCCTCAGGGGGAAGAACAATGTCCCCATGGTCCCCATCCCTCGCTGGGTGTTTTCTACAAGCCAAGGGCCTTCAGCTCACCAGTGTGGATGAAGGTATGTTTCTTCATGTCTGACTTCTGATGGAACCTCTTGCCACAGTACTGACAGGGGTAAGGCCGGGTGTCTGAGTGGATGAGCAGGTGTGTGGACAGCGTTGATGATCTCTTGAAGCTCTTGCCACAAATCTTACAGTCAAAGCTCCGCTCCTATTGAAAGATATGTCATTCTTACTGTAATCATCTATGCCAGCAGTCCCCAACCTTTCTGGCACCAGGGACCAGTTCTCCTATGAGAATCTAATGCCTGATGATCTGAGGTGGAGCTGAGGCGGTGGTACTGGTGCTGGGGAGCGGCTGCAAATACAGATGAAGCTTCGCTTGCTCACCACTCACCTCCTGCTATGCGACTCGGTTCCTAACAGGCCACAGACTGGTATTGGGGAACCTGGGGGTTGGGGACCCCTGACCTAGGCTAACATTCTCCTCATCACTAACTTGAATCTAAAATCCCAAGCGTGGCCTTTCTCTTCCTTCAGACTCCCTTTTCAAAGAGCCTGCTCCATTATCCTTTCTCCCCTCATTTATTTCCAACCTCCACCCTCCCCACTCTTATCCTCTTCCCCTTTAACACTTTTGCTACCCAAACACTTTTTACCCACAACCCTCCACACCCCATGGCAAAACTGTATCACCACCCTGTTTTTTTAACACCCGTTTACAAACACTTCTCCACCCTCTTCCACAGGAGGCTTAGACCTCAGTCACTTGAGATGCCCCCCACCCTCCAGCCTCCAGCCTGTGTAGCTGTTGAGGAGATGGGAGAATACTCTTTTTGGTAAATAAGTCTCTGTGAGTAAGCCTTCTCCTGTCATAGTTATTTGGGTACTTATTTGCTTATCCACGCTGTCTCTCAGCTAAACTGTAATCTCCACATGGGCATCCTGTCAGGGACCTGATGTGTTATAGGATTCTCATATGCCTAGCACCTGGAAGTTGGGCAACAAATATTTTGAATGAACGAAAGACTAGCAGGACAAATATGCCACTAGATGCTTTAAATAAGCTGAGATCCCTCCTTTTCAGTCGTAGAGGGATTAATGCTGATGAAATGACAGCCATTTGGTGAAAAGCTGAGGAAAAGAAACGGATATATCAGTAGCAAGAGTGCGTACAAACCCTCCTCAAACCCAAAGCAACGATCAGGATCACAGTTCTGGAGGTTCGCAATGATGTGGCATCAAATTCTAGGGCTGCCTGGAGGCCTGAGCCGACCACCACTCACCTTTCCCT